CCACTTGTACCCCAGGCACAAGCAGGACTAACCCATCACTCTCCTGTCCCGGGTGTCCAGGTCTCCGTCCAAACTTGGACTCCAAGCCCCCACGTCCTGAGTCCCGGACTCAGTGTGGTGCCAGGACCTCCACCACCTCCTTTTCCCATCAGTCGGTCCGAAAAGAGCCGGATCCGCGACAAGAGAGCAACAAGCCTTCCTCTGTGTCCCATACCCAAGTATGCGTTCGGGACAATAATCTGTGACTTGCCTAGAGCCATATGCAATGACCGGTCCTTAATCGACTCGGACAGGGAAAAAAGTGTAACCGAGATATGCCCTGTTGGCCGCAGGACACAACCCCTCACACCCACCAGTACCCAATCCATATCCCGCCCGGTCACCATTTTTCCTTTACCATTTTATCATGAGTTATCATGTTTATCACCTACTTGTGAGTAACGGCAGGTCACCCACGCTACCGATATCCTGAGCATAGCAGCTACTCGACCTGTACTAGTAGGACTCATAGGTAGATATATTTATGCCTGTAGTTTTCATAAAGTGCTTGTAACTTAAATGCACATCATAGATATATATTCAGTGATCATTAAAAATATAGTTTATGCTCCGGGGCTTGCCTTGGGCAGGTGCCGGGTCAGCAAGGTCAGCACCAACAGGCTCCTAAGATTCCTCCTGCACGAGATCTCCTCCTCGTACTCCTCGATCACCTCATCGTACTCTGGCTCACCAACTGGCACGAAGTCTACCAGTTCATGATCTACATGAAATAATGATGCAATGCTTAATAATATGACAACATCAACTCTTAACCTAAAAGTAGATCTATTAAACTACTAAGCGAGATCTACCCACTAAAGGCTAAGCTACGTATTGTCACCACTAACACATATTAAACATGGCATACATTATTATAGCAATTACCGATATTCTTACTCCTAACGCTAATTTACACTATATGCGATAAAGCTAAGTTAATAGCCACTCTATCTAGCAACTCGTTCTAAGGCTACGAAATTTACAACAAGTACATAATATTCTAGTGAACATACTGTAAAAGTTTTAAAGCTAAAACCATTACCGATTTGCAACAAGAATTCCTACAAATATTTATCTACATAATGCTAAGCTTTCTAATTAGAATTTATGAGCCTATCATCGTAATAGCTAGTTGAGAACTAACTATACTAACAGATAGATGACATTTTTGTGAACCCAACAAAATTAGTCTCACTATTTTTGGACAACTACGCAATTTACTACGATTTATCGAAGTTGGATTCATAACTAAAATAAATAAGCATTTCTATTCTCTGGAAAATAAGGAAACCGAATTCACCACTTTGGCCCACATCACATGGCTTCGGCTCAAGAATGGTAGCGCCATGCGCGCCAACAGATCTTGCCCACGCATCGTTAGCGGCCCAAATGACCAACTGACCCATGACGGGAAAGGCCAGTAGCGATGGCAAATATGCACAAACACCCTCGATGTACTCGGTATTTGCTACGAGCTCTATGGTACTATTTCGCTAGTCTACAATTTTACGGTTACGTCCTCCCCTTCCTTCTTCTTTCGACAATGAAGTCCTCAAAGACCAAGCAGGCATGCAGACCCGACGCGACGGCGCAGCGAGCGCCACGCGCCGCCTCACCCGACCGAAACCCTCGCCCCACCTAAGGGGCCGATAGGTACCTCGACGACAAGTAGAAGCTATTGGAGGCGACACGGCGAGCAGAGGCGCAGCCATGAACTCCCTCCCCGGCGGTGGTGGCTGACCTGCGATGGCGGGCACGTTCCCGTGAGCCGTAGTGAAATCGAAGCAAACCAAAAAGCTAGCAAGTTCGAGAAACTACCCACGGATACCCCTGAGGTGACGGTCCGGCCGGAGAAAGCCCCGAGTAGTCTTTGGCGCGGCGCGCTTCGACGAGGTGTGTGACACCGGCAATGGCACGGCCATGGCGGTGGTGGCTGGCTTGCTGCAAAGCTATGATTGAGGTGCGCGGGGTGCTCAGGAGGGTACGGCTAAGCTAAGGGTGCACTGAATTGCTATAAGGCGCTCGGAGTGGCTGGCTTGCCGTCTGGGAGTGTCCGGCCGATCTTAAGGACCCGGTGGCGCGGTAATTCAAAATTGAAGCACAGTGAGGTGAGAACGGCAGCGCGGTGGGGTAGGTTGGACGACCGGCTGCCTAACGGAGCTGAGCGAGAGCCGAATTGGAGTCTAATGCTACGGTCACGACGAATTCAAAGGGGTCGTCACGGCGGCCATGGAGATAGTAGGGCAGGGGAGGTCCTGGCGCGGCTTGGCTTGGTCCGTCTGCGACATCAACGCAACGAGCCAACACACCCCTACGGGGAACAGCGGGACAGGCGGGACGTGCCCCAGACGGCTGTCTGCACGGACACTGCGGCAAGGCGACGAGCGCGGCATGGCGCCATCGCGGCGGGCAACGCCAGACAATTTGACGCAGTGAGATGCGACGCGGAGTGGATGGCGGAGCAGACTGCCGTCCTTCGCGCGCGAGCGCGCAAAGGGAAATCGGTGTTCAAGATATTGCTTGCGTGGCCGATGGCAACGCTAACGCGTGACACGCGCGCCTCCGGCCAAAGCAGCGCAGAGCCAGCAGCGTCGCAATCACGGTGGCCCGACGACATGGTGCGCCGCGCCGCGCAGCGAGGCGAGCCAATTTGCCATGAGAGCGGCGAAAGAATGGCGGCGGCAATGGCCGTGGCAGCAAGCAGAGGCAGACGGCCGCGCTGCAGCGCCGCATGTGTGCGCAAGCGCGCGCAGGTGAAGCGGCCGGAAGCGCGGCGATGGGTGTGCAATGCAGTGGTGGCGGTGGCGGCAAGCCGCCAGCCAATGGTGGTGACCGCGCCCAGGGCTAAGCCAGGTGTCGTGCACGCTTTTTAAAGCAGTGAGAAACCTTGTACGCAATGCTCCAAACGCTAAACTAATTGCTCGATGCGCAAGAAGGTTCATCAAGCTATCGACCGCAGTCATTACATTGCGCTACTTCTTAAGCCAATCGCTCCACAAAGCTTGCCGAAGGTGGCTTCGTCGACCTCTTCTAAAACTTTCGCGAACGATGCCGTTTCGAACGATTTCGCGTCGAATTCTAAATCCGACCTATGGGATGTACTAACTTGTTATCCTAGTCCGCGACCGCACATATTTCATCGCCGTTAGCCAAACATTCTATAGCATTTTTATTTCGACAAGAATCGATTAGAATACTAAACAGTATTATATGAAACGTAACCTTAGCCTCATGTTTCGTACGAATGTTTCCAGTGCCGAACATCGATTTACAAGTCATATTATACACATATGCACATAATTATGATGCTCATAAAGTGTTCAGCACAACAGTGCAATGTAACACCGAGGGTGTTACACACTGCACCCCCAAGCCGCTCGGGCGGAGCTCCACCGCACCCCGAGCTCCACTCACTAGAGCATTGATGCGCCTCCAAGCTCTAGCTCGGGAGCTCTGTTGTGCTCCTGCTCTACCCCTGAGGTCCGCCCGGTGGAGCTCGTCACGCCCCCATAGGTCCTCTCCCTGGAGCTTGCCCCTGAGCACCACGTCACTGAGCATCGCCGGACCACTGCCTTCGAGCACCCCTGATTGTCGTCGATCACGGACGTAAAGTGGGTTTGTCCGGTTTCTCTGATTTGGGGAAATAGGATGAACCCGTATCTACAGAGAATTTGCAAAATGAACCCGACCCATTTGGTAGCGAACCAAACATTCTAAATTTTGGTCCAACCCCGAACTAAACGCACACTTAGTGGCAGAGCAGAAAGAGCTCGAATTAGATGTGATAATACCCACAATCTGTATTCGACACCTGCACAAACGTCGTCTTCGTGAAGGCCCTCGGTTAGGGGAAGGTGGCAGGGGTGTGGGGTGCCTGGGAGGCGAGCAGAGCTATGTGGTGGCATGCTCGTCGCTAGCCCCGAGTGGCGGTGTGGCAGACGGGCTTAGAGTTAAGGTTTTAACTTTGGACAAATCTCCAATGTCCTCCGGCCTTAGAGGGATGGCCCGGGGCGATGACGGCACCGCTGACCATGTTGAGGAAGATAGATGGTGGGCTATGAAGTCGCCTATTGTCTGTGTGGTCGCTGGTGGTGGGGGAAGCGGCAGTTGGGGAAAAGGAATGGAGAGAAAAATGTGAAGAAGAAGATGATGCGACGAAGACGAGCGCAAGTAACTGGAACAACAGCCTCCGGAGCCCTGTGTTGTCCAAGGAGCCTAGGAGGTCACACCGGGCACAAAATTTCTCCTTTAATTTCAAGATACCTTGCCAGAAGGGCAGGGCAGAGGCAGACGTATGGTATGGTATGGTGCCAGTAGTATCGAGCTGCCTGCCTACGTTGTGAACTGTATCAGCACATGGCATGCACGGTGTACTTGTCGTTGTGGAACACTTTCTGCACACGTTCCAATCATGCTACAAACTTGAGTAGCCAAGCCCCCTGGTGGCATCGGTGGTTACATGCTAGATGCAGAAAGCATAAGCAAGCTAGCGACTGGCTACATGGTCTGTTCGCTCGAAGAAATTTGGATGGTTCGAAAGAATGGTGTAGAAATTTGTGAGAAAAAAACAATGTTTTGAATGAAAAAAGAAACGAATAAGCCGGATTTAAGGGCACGCGAACGGGGGCATGGCCCATCCTCTCGATGACCAGTATTGCTCTACCACTGTTAAGCTGTTAGCGATCGAGCAGCTGCATATTCTCGGCCCTGATTGCCGGTTAACCTGGACGGTTGCGCCTGGACTTTGGCGAATTCGGCATCTGAGAGGACAGTGGCACAGTGCACACGGACAAGAACAGAATGCAGGCAGAGCAAGGACAGGACGTCCATATCGGATTCGCGATCACCTGCATTTACAACCTCTCCACTATAGTACAGCGCAATGAACGAGTACGTCGTACGGTGGACACAGCATGTGTTGTGTGCGTCGAAACACGCTCTCGTGGTCGTGGAGGATGAGATCAGGGTGGCATGTACGAGTTGTGGTGGTCGTGCGGCGGCCAATGCACACCTTCCCTGGGGCACGACGGCGGCAGCGGCGCCGGCTGCGCCAGGTACGTCGGGTACCGCTGCCCCGGCATCAGCACCGACAGGTCCGCCGCCTGCAGCACCGCCTCCACCTGAAAAAGAGAAAGCATGCCAGGAATTTCGGATCAGAAACAGCCAAAGCATGCCAAGATTACACCCAGGCCTTATTTAGATTGCTTCAAAATTCCAAGTTTTTTCACTCTCTCTCCATCACATCAGTTTTTAGACGTATGCATGGAGTATTAAATATAGGTAAAAAAATAACTAATTATACAGTTTGGTTGTAAATCACGAGACGAATCTTTTGAGCCTAGTTTAGTTCATGATCGGACAAAATTTGTCAAATATAAACGAAACGTGCTACAGTGTTCAGATTACAAAATTTTGCAATCTAAGGCCCCAGTGCCAGTGGGTATCGTATCGCAGTCCCTCCCAGCAAGTACCATGCACCGCAAATCCGCAATGCATGGTACGCGACAACGGGTGATTGGCTGATTGCCAAGCAAGCTTGGCTGATCTTACCATGGGCGGGCCCCGGAGCTTGCCGGGCAAGCGGCGGCCATGCCTGTGGCGGACAGCAGCGTGCGGCCGCCTGCCGTCGGGGGAGTCTGGAGGGAAGGCCCGGGGCTTGATGAGGTGCTCGAAGATGGCCACGAGGAGGAAGAGCGAGATGAGGATGGCCGTGGCCGCGAACCCGAAGGAGATGGCGTCCATGGACGTGCCGAAGTCCCTGAGCGTGGACGCCTCGCCCCGCGCGTCCGCGGCCGCGGCAACCGCCGCTGCTGGCTCTGACGGCGTGGACGCGGGGTCCCCTGGCCACGGCCGCGACGACCTCTGCCCGATCCCGCTCATGTCTGCCTGAGCGATCTTGGCGCTCACGTCTTCGTGTATTTGCGATCAGGCGTCGCGTCGATCTCCCTGCACGCCGTGTAATTTTCGTTTTGCTGTGCAACCTCTTCAGGGCCAGCAACTGAATGCTTGACTTCTTCTTGGAACTGTGACTAGCTCACTCTAGGACCAATTATGAAGTCTCAAAGAATCATGGATCACATGTTAAAATAAACTCATTCGAACCATTCACCCTAAAACATCATCAGAAGAGGAAAAAAAAAGTGGAACATCAGAAAGAGGACCTGTGAAAGACTATATGATACCCACCCATCCAGGATTCAGAATTACGTTCATTATTGCAGGCATACAAAAGAGAGCATGTACATACCTTCAGGGTTCTCGCAGCGAGGCTTCAGCGGTCCTCTCTGAACTGAAGAAGGCAAGAACGAGGTAGCGATCCACGGCCTACAACTCTATGCATGCTTTAGTTGTGCTCATGGGGATGGGACTGGGATGGATCACGAAAGGCCAGTGGCGAACGCCAAATGCCAAGAGGAACCTACAAGGAGAGGTCCAGCTCGGCTGCCTCGCTACTTAAAGCCACTGACTGAGCTGAGTCGAAAGTGAGATCTCAGCTGATCTGGTGGTGGCAATGTGGAGGGAGCGAGAGAGAGAAGAAAGTCTCGGAGGAACAAAAAGAGTGCCGCGAGAAAGGCTGCCACACTCGTCTTCAACAGTTGATGCGATGGCAAGGCTGCGAGACTGGTACAAAAAATAATCCCAGAATCATGTTGGAGCACCTCCCATCCAAGGAGTGGCTCCCCAGCCGTCCTCGTCCCCACTCCCATGCACGCACTCTGTAGCAGCAGGCCACATGATCCGCCTATAAAGACTAGTGTCCGTATAGCCAAGGAGGGAGGGAGGAAATGATTCATCAAAGGGAAGGGACGGTGGAATAGTAGTCTGTAGTTGTATGAGCTGACGGCAAAGCGCAACGAAAGCGAAAGGAGTGGAATGGCCGGCCGGCAGGGGCGACGCAGGAAAAGCAGCTCGTGGAAAGAAGGGACGTGCCTTCTTTGTGCAGGGGACCAGTCGGCCTCTGATGCGCATCATGGGTGCACGTCAGGTAACTTGCGTGTGCAGGATTTATCACCTCCAGTAGCACGGCAACAGCGCCAGAAGACCTTCGTCTCATGTCAATTGACATGCATGTATGATGTATCTATGCTGCAAGTGTGTTAGTTGTTACGATGATTAAGATTGATGGGAATATAATTACTAGCAGACAGTGAGCCGATGCGTGTGCGTGAGAGCAGCTAAAGGGCCTGTGAGTCTGTGACTCTCTTTGCATTGCTTCCAAGAGAGAATTCATGGAACTTCACTTGTCATTTGAAAGCTGTGAGGGTGTGAGGAGGTACCTGTGGCCATCTGATTCTCTGAGACTTGTGGCGGCAGATATCTCTCTGTGGACGAGTGGATCATGTGCAGCCACACGACATTTTTACACAAGCATTGCCTGACTTGCCTGCATATCATAAATATATGATCATTTTTTACTGGTTATTTAGCTTTGACTGGGTTGGCATAAATTACTGAGACTAGTGACGCTTAACATAAGAGAATTATTTGTAAAAGAGAAAGAAAGAGAGACTGATGAGTGATGATAACATTTTTCTTTGTGAAGAGCGCGCATGAGCGAGCGAGAGCGCGCGCGCGCGCGCGAGAGAGAGAGAGAGGCTGAATATGCAAGATAATGTTTCCTTCCCATTGAGGTAGTACGTACTTGGATATGATTCTGATATAAGGAACGGTTATTATCATCCGTGCAACTGTACACACAGACTTGGTATTGATAATATGATGTGACAAACGCTTTATTTGAGGATAATATAATGCTATAAAATTAGTTTGTCTGTGACGGGGAGGGGTAATGCTATGGATGGGCTGTCACTAGTGGCAGAAAAAGAAGGAGCATCCAATGCAGCAACATGCCAATACCAAATGTCTGTGGATGCAGCGCAGAGCTATCCTCGTCCTAAAAATTTTGTGTAGCTGTTGTTTGAAGGTGATTAGTCCTTCAACTACTGATGGCCCTTTTTTATTTTTACTTCCTCCGCTCCAAAAAGAATAACATTCTAATTTTATTCTAATTCAAGACTTTGACTTGCTTTCTTCTTATATGATATGGCAGAGACCTTGCTAATGTTTTCAAAAAAAATCCAATTCGTGACATCTTAGGTTTATAACCATATTAAATAAGAACCGTTAGATTTATGTCATAAATATTAATAATTTTTCCTATTAACTTAATTCAAATTAAAATATTTTGACTTAAAACAAACTATAGTGCTATTTCTTTGGGACAGAGGCAGATAAGTTCGCTTCACTAATAAGCCAGGCTGAAAAGTACTATACTGTGACTGATAAGCCAGGTAGATAAGTTCAAGCGAACAGGTTATGAGTAAGATTCGGATCCCTGCAGGTGCACATTCCTATGTGATGATTCGTGCAGTAAAATCTTGCTTAGGTGCTGCTAGTATCCTCTCAGGAAAGAGTGGCGGAGATAACTAATTAACTACCCAAAAGCTGCTGTCAATGTCGTCGTCAGTAGTCTGACCAATGAGAGCCTGCATCAATCAAGTAGTATAATCTATCCAGCAAAGGTATTCATATGTATACTACAGTATGCGATGACAGTACGAAACCGAATGGTATTCATATGTATACAATGCATGGCCTTTTTAGCTGGGCAGTGCTGGTAAATGAGTAGCCGCAACTGATGATTACACATGCAAATATAAATTAGCCCCTTTACCAGGTAGTTCTCGACACGTGTGCTTATGTATTCGCAGACCAAGTTCATCCCCAAATCATCCTGTCTCCCTTCCTTGAACAAGCATCCATCTAAACTAAAGAGAGGAGGGTATTAAAAATCGCCAACGCTTGCTTCCAAAGTTAGGGTCTGATACTTGTGAGTTGGGAGACAACTAATAAAGCGCGGCTGCATGCATTACTTAACCTTGATGAGAGCATTCGGCACCAGTGGCTAGTTGGCATGGAAGAGAGCATCAAGGAGGGTCATGCTTAGTATATATGTATGTCTTACTCATTGTATTCGTACAGAATTTATCGCCGAACATATAATTCTGTGCGTTATATATGGTTCATATTGGAATCGTTGCTATAGAAATCAGAAGCATTCCAACTTGAGTGCTGGAGAGGCAAAGCCATTGGAGGCTGGAGGCAAGGCAAATGAGCTTAATTATGAACGCATATCTTGGTTTGGACTTCATGCTCCTTTATGCTGCAGCGCTGCCCTCGCTGCGCCCCAACTGTACCCGTTCGGCTAGCTGGCTGGCTCTGTCACTCACGAAATCACTGTTCACGTCCTGTCAGAACAGTATTTTTCTCTCACAACAATCAGCCGAAACAATATTTTTCAGTCCTACCGAACAGCCCTAAAGGGATCAACGCAAATAAAGCATGAAGTAGTATGTACTCCAGGATAAAGCCAAACAGAGATGAAGAAAACAAATCACCTAGACCGCATTATCGTCCATCAGAAAAAAAAAACGGGAAAAGAAGAGTGCGCGAAATCGATCTGTAATTATTATATGCAGATGCAGTGCACGGAAGAAATATGCATATATAGGTGCTGGGAAAAGCCTAGACCGGATGGAACATGCATGGAAAACGGGGAAACTATAGGGAGAATTCAGAAACAGTAATGCTAAATGTCTGGCGTTCGATGCGCTTCTTCACCTCCGAACGTGACTCGCGCTCCTCCACTCGCTCCCCTCGCCTTATCCTCATCCACCTGCCTCACCTCGCTCAGCATGGACTCGCGCAATACAGAGGCTAGCAGGGCTCTTCGTAGGCATCGCGGGTCACCGGTTCGTTGGTATTAGTGGGGCTCTTCGTTCGATGAAGACGCGGCAGCGGTAGTTCGCGCGGGTGCGCGATCTCAGGGCGGCGGCGGCGGTCCATGCTGCTGCCCCGGTCTTGTACCATCGCCAGCGAGTCCGCTCCTTGCGCGCGTCGCCGGGGGACGTGCTGGTAGCGTCCGGTGCCAAACTAGGGAAGGGGCGTGCACTGGGGGAGTGCGGACTAGGAAGCGGCGAGGGGGGTCGAGCGCTGAGGGGCGTCCGGACGCTAGCGCCCAGATCGAATGTCCGGGTGCTGGCAGTTCCCATTCAGAAACGCACAGACGACAGGCAAATATAGGAGTATGTCCTGGCACTGCAGTAGGAGTAGTACTGTACGTAGGAAGAAAATTGGGGCGTGTAATATCTAGCGAGGTCTATGATTGTAAAGCGTAGTAGATCGAGAGGAGGAGCAGGTGATGATAGCTAGCGCGACCTAGAAAGGAGAAACGCGAAAGGGGAAAAGGCCTTTTGCCGAGCCGAAGACCACATGCATGTGGATGGGGCTCACATGTCTCCATCCTCTCCTCTCCTCTCCTCGCCACGCAGAAAAGTGGGAATGAGAGTCATGAGACGGAGGGAGGCGATAAAGAAACGAATTGGTTCGGTTCCACGGCAAGCGAGCACGCGAGCGACTCTGGTGCTGCAAAGCGGCGGCAACGCGGGCCGAGTGAGATTGACCAAAGCCTGGCCACGTAGTAAGTACTACATAACGAACTCGAGTTTCAACTGAATCAAAGACCAGTCAGAAATCGTATACAATCTGTATATACCGGATGTTTGCTAATTGAACGAAAAATTGACAATAATACAATTAAGACGTTCGCACGCACAGACATCTCTCTCCACTCACTCCCTCACACACCACTCGCCCAGCGACGGTATTCGCTCGTCCCACCTGCGCGCTCCGATGCTCGCTGGCTGTTTCCTTCCTGCATCGCCGTGCCCATCCGTCCACCCCACTCCGCCTCGCCGCCGCTGGTCCTCCGCCACGCCACGCCCCATCCCCTATGGCCTCCTTCACGTTGCTCCCCCGTGCTGCCTCCTCCGCTGCATTCCCTATCGGGCCCAGTTTGCCTTACCCGCCTCCACCATGCT